ATCAGCTTGAGGATCATCAGCCAAATCAGTGCAAAATACAAGAGTAGGAAGGCTGAACCGTAATGTAATTTTTCTATCCGATTCCAAATTATCAAGCATGACAGCCAGAGAACGAAATAATTTTGGAACAATGTAATCGTTCCATGATAAAACAACAACATTACGAACTTTACCCCACGCCCGCATGACACAGTCTTTCTCTACCGCCAATCTGACAGCACGATCATTATCTACAGCAGAATAAGGAAAATTCCAAGGCAAAAACAAAACCCGCAAATTGAATCTTTCTTGAACAACTCTATTTTGTAGCACCACAGGGAACTGACTAGGCAGAGTCCTATCATAGACTATAAAATCATTTATTCCAACAAGTTGATGGTAACTCAGGAACTCTACAACAGATGTTTTCGAAACAACAGGCAATGAATTTGGTGCAACACAGACTAGAGTGCTGTTTTCTACAATAGTTCTATCATCTATGGACTGCACTGGAATGAAAGGTTTGAAAGGCACATGTGTAGTAGAGACATAAAAAGATACCCCAGTGGGAATTCCAAGGGATGCTTGTGGCTTGCAATACAGAAAGTGAGCATTTAAACCACCTCCTTTAGGTAATTTAAAATTGCCTACAGTATTATCTTTATCTTCTAATAATAAGTAACTAAATTTTCCAGGTACAGGATCAGTTTCATCTTCAAACCAAACATGACATTTGAAATTAGGTTCAGACTTCATTAAACCTATTCCTACAGCTTTCACTCTATTACTGCCATCTGATGCCTCCCAAAATGCAGAGTACACAGAATATGTGCTGCTGATTCTCTGCCAGGTAGGAAGATGTTCCCTGAAACCTAATATATCATAATTCAAGCGAGTAACATTAAATGGAGCACATTCACTAGCACTAGCAGACTGGCCAGGTGTACCAAAAAAGTTCAAAACTTCTAATACATAACGAAGACGATTATACTCATGGCGATAGATAAGCAGTGACACTACACTGATTACTGATACTACAACTAATGTCAACTGGTAGTACTTCCTCATGGTCGGTTTGGGAGTACGCCATTCATTAGTGTGGAGGCTGATCAAAGCTTCTTTGCGCATTGCTCTTGTTGTCAATATAAAAACCAAACATGGCTACAGATTCTGAAAGAGAACAGGTTATATTAATTCTCACTCATATATATCACAAAATACTATATCATTGGAAACTTAGAGTTGATTAACATTACTTTTTCCTTTTAAGACCAGTTACCTTCAGAATATCACCATTCCATTTATTATTTCACAAACACGAGCCAAAAACTTCAGCAGACAGAACTTCCAATAGATTCAACCTGATGTAAACAAAACAAATCTATTTTGAAGTGGCAAGAGAAAACGTAAACTAAAAGCTTCAGGATTTCATAGTTTGTAAATAAAAGGGCAATAAACAATTCACTTCAAAAGTCACTAATAACAAAAACAACAAAACGGTTCTCTTTGCAATTATTCACAAATGCGAAATGTTGGTTATTGCACTTCCTTCTTCGTGATACTTACACTATCCGTTCAATAACTCTTCAAAACTCTTTCACGAAACGTCACGAAGCCTATATATTCATGTAGGAGGGTAACATACGAGGGAACATCAGAACGTACTGTCACGTTTCCCTACGTCGTGTTCATGCGCTATGGATGAATCAGTTTCCGACAGTTTCTCAAACCAATGTTGTTCCAATTAGTAAATTATATTATGTATGATTCAGTTTTACAAAACGCAAAGAAAAATGGAAATATTTTTAATATGTACATCCATTAATGTCATGAACTTCATTCGAACGTTCCTCCCTCTTCTAGAGCGATCGCGTTTATTTACCTGGTTTTGATATTTTCACATCCGCCGCTAGAATGCGCAGACATCACTAGATGTTTAGAAAGGGATGTATGCCTATGCTGAGATTGAGCTTTCTGATTTCTGTTATGGGGGTTCCGGAAAAGGATGAGAAAGCAGAGGGAAGGGCAACTCGCCCTGACCTTTCACCCTTCGAAGATTCCAATGCCTTTCACTGCCGAAACGAAGCGCCCTATAAAAGACCACTTCTCTTGGCCGAAACCAATCAAATAAAGCTAATCTCCTCTTCTGAAAAAAGAAAAAGGTAAAATGATCGACGAAACATTAATCAACTCGGTTTCTATGAAATAGAAGCAATGTGGTCAATATCTCAATAGCGTATTGATGGTGATAAATGACGATTATAGAAAAGAAAGAAAAAAATCTGGTGAATATAGGTTCTAGAAACACTTAATTAAAAAAACAGCCGTTATTTTTATTACTCAATATTTTATTAATTTTAAAAACTTGATATACATTTTTATACTTTTATTTACCTTCTTCAATATCGACCCTTCATCCTCATTCCTGTCTTTTCTTTGGGGAGGAGGGGAGCTTTTCAAAAACGTAGTCATATAGCAACAACTGTGATTGTTGATGTCGTAGGCTTCCGCGGCCAGAGTCATGATCCGGGCTGTCCGGGTGACGCCGCGTCGATGGCTGATGTGCCGACGTTTCGACCGACATGTCGCGGTCCTCTTCAGGGGCTGTACTGCGAAATTTTTAAAATTTTTAAAATGTTGAGGATTTATGTAAAGTACTTTCAATCATCAAAACAACCGTGTCAAACTCGCTAAGCCTCGAGTTCGTTCAGATAGATTGATGAATATCAATTTTGGAGAAAATTGATTGATCGGTTTAGGCGTGGTGGAAACACGGTTTAGGCGCTAGCATTGACCACAGACGGACGTTTTACCGTCAACTTATTTTTCGGTATCAAAGACCCACCACACATGGATTCTACGTCGGTCTCAGCAGCGTGCGGACGTGCCTTACGGAGCTCGCTAGAGTGGTCATTGGAATTTCATCTCCGCTGTTATCTGAGCAGTGCTGGAAATTTTTGTGTCGTTCTCCTAAGAAACCCGTTTGCTTCTGTTGTTTTGTGTTACTCATATTGTACTCCTTAGTGATTTATTATTTCACTAACATGGGAGACTGTGGCAAGTATTCGAAGCCCCTACCAAGGACTAATAAATGTGGAGAGGTTGTCGAGATTCAATGTTGTTAACTGTCGTTCCATGGTGTGTTAACCTTACTTCCGAGGTCATTCAATTTAATCAAGATAACAAGATTATTTAGATATGTGAGCTCTATGCTAAAAACTGACGAAAAAGAATGGCTATTGAATCTAGGCTTGGATCTGTGGTCACATATGACCAGTGGCGGCTTGAATGGTAGTGCCTGTGTTCCATGGCACCACCAACGAAAAGGAAGGAAAATAAAATTTTTACCACAAATGTGTATAAAATATAGTTTCTTCAATATTTTTTCTTTATAGTAATGCATTTGAACGAGCGCTTCGTCCTTTTATGCTCTATTAATTATCTCTTCAAACACACAGGACATAGTGCTATCTGTCCACCTCCTCCTTAACCTCTGGGCCACTATGGATTGACCCTGTCTATACCGATTTCACGCTGTGTTCTATGCATCTCTTATGGACGAAACGGTGCCATATTCGAATTGGCACAGAAGTTTACGTTCTCCTCCACAGAGTGGACGAATGACAAAAACTTCATCACGCAGACTATAGGCCGGTTTCACCAACAGCCAAGTAAAGTTGAGAGTAGTTATCCGAAAGTAACCATTTACTCCAAGATAGTAATTCTCGAGTAGAATATGAGCGTTTCACCATGCTTCTAGAGGGTTATTTTACTCTAGAGTACATACTCTCCGATTTACTCCGCAAATCAGCTGAACACACAATATTTGAGAGCGATTCAAGAGGCTGTGAGCGTGAATGACGCTCGGAACCAATGCGGACCAACGTGAACCTTTGATTAATTCCTTATATTCTATCATTCATTTCAGTTTCGGAGTTCTTGGCGTTATAATCTGGTGTGGTGTTATGATGGTTTTAGTTAGCATAGTTTATTTCCTAGTTTTTGTATCTTTATTTCTTAATAAATATTCATTCTTCTTCTCTGGAGACGAGTTACTATTTTGTTAGCAATGAAGAAAAATCTAATTTGCAGTTCGTTTACCAATGGCGGTGTAAATGAATTTTCAATAACTAGAGAACGAAAATGTTTAGTTTTCAAATATTGCTGATCTCGCGTTTTTCTAGATTTTATTATGTTGTTTTATTTTTTAAACTTTTATTCATCTTTCAACCATTTGTAGTTAAAGTGTTAGAAAGGGATTCTGGAGTCTAGGAAACGTGCGCAAATGATCTCCCCCATATGTCACATACAGTTTTTACTGAATAAATAAATGAATATTTCTTAGTACTTGTAGTTATTACGTTTCCTTTTGTTGTCGTATTCGGTACGTACTACCTTTATTTCGTACCCACATGGAACAAAAAGAACTTTAGAAGTTCTTTAGTTTACAATGTGTCTGATAAAGTTAAACAGCTGATTTGATCAAACATAACCTCATCACAAAAATATCGATCGTCATAATTAAAACCAATCCATTCTCTCTCGCACCCTTTGTCTTTGCACTAGTATATAATATTCCGAATCGTTGCTGGAATCGTCTTCAAATACTATCATTCGTAATCGTTGAACCGTAACAACACTTCGGAGGTACATGCACGTTGAAAACTGAATTTACTCCGTATTTTACCCGACGGATTTTCGCGGTGTTAAGTTACTCTCGTGTAAGCGATTTACACTCGAGTCAAGTGTTGGTGAAACGCTCCAAGAAGTTACTCTCGAGTAAACACGATTTACTCCAGAGTAAACTCTTACTCTTGGTGAAACCGGCCCTATCTCCATCATGACCTCGATGCCTGGGAATTCGTACGTCTTTCCTTGTTTCGCACATGGAGGGGCGGCGCCGCTCTGAATATTGGCTGCAATGCATTAGAGGTAATGTTGAGTAAATTGTGTTACCAAACATTGTGCGCGAGGTGTGTGCCGCGATCACTTACACAGGAACCCAAACAGCACCCAATGATAGTTTGTGAGGAACTTTTGACCCAATACGAAGCTGAAGGCGGCGGTTTTCTGGATAGAATAATAATTGACGACGAGACAGAGTGTCACCATTATGAGTGAGAAACATATCAATCCATGGAATGGCGCCGTAAGAATTCCCCGTCCGGGTCACCTATGCTGGTACAGATTTTTACGAGTGTGGCAGGCAGGTTCTTGGTCATAGGTGGAGAAAATGCATAGAAAAATGGGAGGACTATATTGAAAAATAGAGTTAAAAAAACTTTGTTCTAACATACTATATTAATATCGTTTTTTAATTACTTTACTTGGCATACAAATAAATGGAAGGCACTGCTTTCGGACGATCCTCGTACATTATCTTCTTTTAGGTACCTTATACAATTTAACGCAGCACAAGAAAAAAGTATGAAATCTCTTTATTATCCATGTTTGCCATAAGCTCAATAAATTCTTTCTTATTCAAACTTAACTGGGATATAAAATCTCTTTCGAAAATGGTGAACTTACCTAAACAACTTGTAAATCAATAATTGTCACATATCTACAGATTGCGAATGTTCCAAACTTTCGAGATCAAAAACTAGGATTTAGATATACTACAGTAATATGGGTTCTTAAAAGTAGGAAAATTCCTATAAAGTGAATTTGCTGGCAAATACGCCAATATAAAATACAAAAATATGGTGTGAAAAATGTGCTTCATGCCATTTTCTGACATGTGCATCTTACATGACATCAAATAAAGTAAATTCCATCAAGGTCTGATAATAACAGTTTTAAGTAATATTTATTAATTCCAGATGAATCTTTGATCACAAATTAATTACAATAACGGGAAAATATTGTACTGAACGTACTTTCAGAATCGAAGAACATTACGAACATTTTACGAAACTTGACCAACAATACATTGAAATATTACAAAAACCAACATGATAAAAACATCTATTGATAACATTTAAAAACTAATTTTTCATTCTTTATAAATTGAATACATTAATTATTAATAACTGTTTTAAAACGCTAAAACACTTGAAAGATAGTAAATTCTCTATTACATTATGCCTAAGTGTACCACAAAACTTTCTATAACAAGGGCAGACTTCAAATTATTTATTATTCAGTACAATCTTACTAACAGCAAGTGCAGCACATAAGTAGGCATCTATTAAACAGTCAATTAAGTAGCTTGGCAGACTTGCAAACATTCCAAGACAATTTTACCTTCTTGTGATTGTGGAGGACCATACTCCCAAAATATCATTCAAAATACACTAACAAATTAGTGTTAGTGTGCTATTTTCAAATTTCTGGCAAAAACGTAATTTTATCCTTGCATTTGAGCTTTCATTCACCTTTGTTTTTTTCACAGCACTTGGTTTATCATGAATTGTCCTAATTGGAATTTGTTCTCGCACGTCAGAAATTTGTGCTGATGTTAAAAGATTCCCTACATACCTACGGACACTGTCCTCAATAGGCATCATATTTTCTTTCGCGTTTCTTTCCAGAAGAAATAACATTTGATGCACAAGCTTAAGTTCGACTAGTTCAATAACCACGTATTTCAGGTTAATTTTTGTCTTAAAAGTTGAGGCTATCTTCTTACAAATAAATTTCACATTCAAGGCGAAAACGGATTTTTTTGTCACTAGAACTAATAGTTCTAATGATATGGTACCAACGCTTTCACCAGTGTTATGTCAAGTATTTAGAATTATTTTTCTCTCAAATTTATCTCGAAATAATTTGATTAATTGGAGGGGAGAGAAAAAACATTATAGAGAAATTGAATAGTTAACATATGCAACTCTTCTGAATTTTTCAAATACAAAGCTGATGTTTCAAATTTTAAAACTATTATTGCCATTGATCTCATTAAAACTTTGTTGTTGTTTTTTTGGTACTTCCAGTACACCAAAATCACATTTAAAAACCACATCTTCCACCTATTCTACGGGCTAATCGAAGATCCTTATTCATTAGAGTCTTTCTCATAGCATGTGCAGCACATAAATAGGCATCTTGAAAACACTCAACTAAATACATTTCAGCAGCCTCTTGTAGACATTCCAAAGCAACTCTAGCAACTCGCAATTCTGAATTACCATACTGTAAAAATATATCTTTACACACACGAGCAAAAGCACATCTGGGTATTAATAGTTCAGTGCTTTTTTGATACTTTTTAATTTGTTGCAAAACCCTCATTTCACGGTTAAATTTCCGTTTTTTCTCTTGCTTTGAATTTTCAACCGCACTTAGTTTATTGTCGTTCTTTTTCGTCCTAATTGATTCCTGCACGTCAGCATTTTCTGACATTAAAAGATCCTCCACGTAACTTTGGAAGCTCTCCTCAATAACTGATAAAGCAGCATAATTTTCTTTGCTTTTAAGTTTCTTTCCAGAAGAAATCACATTTGATGCATGGGCATTAGATCGTTCAGTACGATAATCACGAATTTCATGATCACTGGTTTCTGTTATTTTTTTCTTAACTGTTGAAACACTCTTCCTACGAACCATTTTCACCTGCAAGACAAAAATAAGGCATTCTATTAGCCAGACCTCGCCTCTGATTGATATAAAATATTTGGAGATATTTTCAAGCGAATACTTCTGCCATTCTCAACTAACCATAACTGGCAAATTGGCAGGGAGGAATTCTCTTGAAAGATACCTCTTCTTCAACCACTCACAACCAGTGAAAACCAATCACTACACTTTTAATACACACTGATAGTTTCACAAAATGAACCATTCAAATGATGTAGTACCAATATTTTTAGCTGCGTTTTGGCCAGTATATAAAATAAAAAAGGTTTTTTGAATGAATTTCAGAATAATTTGTTTTTTGGAGGGAAAAGAAAAATAGTGAAAATTAGTAGACTTGAATGTATATTTTTTAAGTTCCTTTTTCAATTTTTGACAACCATACCATTATTAAATCTTATCAAAATTCCGTCATGTCATCTACTTTATAATCGTATTCAAATGTAAAAATTGTAAAGTGCATTCAATAGAGAAATTCATTCATTCACTGTTCCATAATGAAATGAAACTATGTATTTTCTTTGGGACTTCTAGTGTTTTTGTATTATATCACTGTTACAATAGTCCACTGTCTAAGTATTGTTTAGTGATTGTAAAAATTTAAAAGTATTGATCTTAACATTATCATCAGCCAAATTAAATAACTTTCTGGATAAATTAATAGGTTCTAGTCAGTACTAAATGCTAGCTTTTATTGGGAATATTATAGATGCTCGTCTCCCCCCCCCCCCGACTCCGCAGCAAGGCATGTTTCCAAAGAATTTGCGAAGCGAAGAAATGCCATTCATCACGCTCATTGAAGACATTTGTAAAAGTATAAACTTGCATTGTTTTGTAATACTACGCACTCGTACTGACCCCATCCGAATAATGTCTGTAAACACTGTCATAATCTTACTTTAAATGTGTTATGAGATTACTCTGAAGACGGCGAATTGAATTTGTCTCGTGTTTCAGACATCTAGAAAAAGATTTTTTTTTCGATTTTGAAATTCCTTGTTTTCTCGTAAGTATAGCACAATTGGAAGCAGAGTAGGTAAGTCCCTAATACACAGCAGTCTCTGAATTACATCTTCACGTACAAAGGAATGTTATGTATAACTTAGAATAGCGGGGACATATTTTTTCTTCAATAAATTTCTTTTTGTTTTCATTTAAAATAGAATGAAATTGATTCAAGTGATTCAAGAAATTCAAGTGAATGATGTTAGATAAGGTATACAGCAGTAAAAAATACACATACAGTGCTACTTAGATATACATTAGAAATTTTAATTGTAATCATGAAGTTATTGAAGAAAACTTTTATTAAATTTACATAATAATTATTTTTACTTTTTCATAAATAACTATTAATAAGTTTAGTTATTAATAGTTAAGTATTAAAGATTATAATTAAGTATTAATATAATTTACGATTTAAACAAAATCCTTTAATCAGCTGTTACGATGTCGTCCACTTCGGAGCTTGAACGTCACTGTTGGCGATTAAGCTACCCATTGGATGACACGGTAACAGCTGACCTGTCAAAGGACACTACGAATAAATCGAAGTATACATAAAATCGAACGGATGCGGAACGGAAATAGAACGTGGGTTACGGAAAGAGCACGTGTATGTGTGATAAAATCGAACGGAGATTCTACGTGTACATGCATACACAATTTCAGCTCGCTGACAAATTCATCATTCAAATGAAAATTCGCCAATAATACTTCATTGAGATGAAATTTATAATTTAACTTTTTAAAAAAACTGCTCTGTGCATGCGCGAAAAGTGGCAGAGGGGAAAGTTCCTTCTCTTGGCGACCCAACTTCCCCGCCCGAGGAGTCGCCCCTCCACGGCCCGGGCGGGCGGGAGCAAGAAAGCCTGGACGTGACCGTTCCGAACGCTGGTGTGTTGAGGCTCGTTTCTTTGTTTATCGTGCAAAATGGAACGGAGAGAAATGACCTTCCTTCCATTCTCCTTAAATACATTTACCACAAAGGGCACAATTTGTTCTCGCTCGAGAGCCGATTTGTGTGCGCTTCGTTCCTGCAGTGTCATTTCTGATTTGTTACTTTTCTGCGTTTTCGAAGTTGTACATTTCTGTTGATGTGATGTCTTCAACATCTGAGTACATCAAGGCGACCGTTGAGAATCCAACCTCGAGAGATAGTGTATCGAGTGACACAATACATTCGGCAAACGAAAATCGTATACAATAAAACAAATGCCAACGTTGTAAAAATGACCGGCAGTGCGACAGGCGTTTCAGAATCAATTCTGAAGGAAGGCCAGGAAAGCCAATCAAGAGGTCATCGGTTTTCTACTCCTAAAGGGAAAACATCAGAAGGAAGAAAGAAAATAATACACGGACTCATTCACCGATTCTGCAATAAGACAATTTATTCTTGTGTACAGTGAAGAAAGGATGTCCGACACTTGATAAACCTATCGTGATTTTAAAGGAGAATGACATACTTGATTGTTCAAAAAATACTTGCGGAGAAGACTAGCGAAAATCGGTTACAAATGGAGTTGTCAGTCTTCTCGAAAACGTCTTGTCGAGCGCCCAGACATTGTGACGTAGAGAATAAAATATCTAAAAAACAACAAACAAAACAAAAGATAACAGAAACGACGATGGGTATATTTTGTGTATTGATGAGATGTTCAAGAATCCCATCTGGTTTCTAACTGCTGGCAACAACAAGATTAACTTGTAGACGGTAATGAAAGCAAAGAGATTAATAACTGCTCATGCAGGGGGGGAAGAGGGATTCGTTGAAGGTGGTCTATCGATGTTCCCATGAGACAATACGGGCGACTATCACCCTGCACAGAATGTTACAAGGCTTCCGTAAATGACCGAAATTCAACGGTTGGGTTGTCCTAATGTCACTCTAACTCCCTCCCGTAGGCTCAACTATTGAACATCGTGAATAGTGAGCCATTTACTGAAATGTACACCCTTACATTTTCGTGTCGAGAATGCCTTGGCCCGAGCGGTTGATGGCGATGGAAATCTGTGCCTGTCGACTGCGTTACCTAACGAGGTTTTTCAAAACTAACTTCTCTAGACCGATTACATTTATTTTATTAGAGAACGTATAAAATAATTTAACGCCCATTGAGAGGTTAATAGTAATAGTATAAAGATAACAAACTTCCATAAGTCCTGCCCATGAAACTGAATTCACATTAATTTTTGTATACATAATGTTTGCTCTCAAGTTTCGTTAATATAAAATGTGTTGTTATAAGAAGAGTGATTAAACAGCGCATCGACGGCTCAATGTCAAAGCATGGAAGATGTATTTTATTACATTTTACGATCATGTGGAATGGATAAAAAAAATCTACGTCTACGTAGATATCTGGGAACTCCCCGAGTGCTGGAATAGCACTTCGTCACTGAGCAAACCATTCGTTGTTCTAACAATCCTCTTAACACATTTTACATTAACGAATCTTGAAAGCAAGATGTATATAAAACACTGGTCAACAACAAAAAATCATCAGAAATGAAACAGTGTGATTTACTATGTATCACGCCCTGATTTCAGATATGTACTTACAATTTCTCTAGGACGTATCATTTTTGTTGGTTGGTTGGCTGTTAGTAATTCCGGCCGCGTCAACTACTGAGGTAATAAGTCTCGTTAGTGAAGTGCATGTTTTCCCTAGGAAGGTGGCGGCGACCTTCCTCTACTGGGTGGCAAGATCCAGCGTCGGCTAGCAGGCACCGCTCCAGCCGGGACAAGCTTTAAACTCCCGACCGGTCACCCAGCATGTGTGGTAGTGTAGTGTATGTTACTGTAAGTGTGTGTACGTAGGGAGTGACGATGTAAGTTAGGAAAGATCGCGGGAAAGTCCGTGGCCCATTTGTTAGGATACTGCTACGGCATTCGCCTGTTGTTGATCGGAGAAACCACGGATAACTACCAATCAGAGAAGCCAGCCTCTAGTAGTCTCCTCCAGACGACTGAATCCGACCTAGCTAACAAGCTAGTATCGAAAATCTTGCCACTGTCGGGACTCGAACCTACGACCTCCCGGTCAGAGGTAGACTGTGGGGATATCAGTTGATGCACTGAGCTACCTCTCCCGGTATATCATTTTTGTGGTAATATGGTTTTAATATTGCGAATGTTCAAATAATCCCCAAAATTAACATACCTCGTCAACAATGAAAAATCATCAGATAAAGAAAATATGCGAGACCGAATAAGCGCCACGCCCTGATTCCAAGTATGTACTTAGATTTTCATTAACACGAATGGTTTCCGAGACAGGACGGTTTTCACATAGGCAAAACCGTTCCTTCCGAAACTGCTGTTGCTGATGATGAAATGAGCTGTTATGATTAGCGTACATCAAAACAGATAAAGAAGAAAAGAGAAGAGATTCTTATAAGCCTGGGGAAAAATGTTCTCAATATCCCTATCGTTGATCGCAACATATTTCTCTCTCCTCTTCGTATAAATTTTGCATTGTTTGGTAAAGTCGATGGGTAAGGCAAACTGTGGAGCAGTCAAGTGTGTCTGTGAAAAATTTCAAAAACCTGCGCAAAAAAAAAAGAAGAAGGTATCTTCCAAATCTGTGTTAAGAACTGGTTTAGAAAAAAAATGCTTACATTTCTGATGATTACAAGTTCCATTTTGTAGACCTGTGTTAACTACCAACAACTTAATGAATTTTGTGATCATATCTTCCCCCAAATTCATCATTTGGTTGGTTAATGTTTAAATATTCCCTAACTAAATAACCAATGTAAAATTTCAGTAATAAGGGCTTAAAATAATGGAATTTTGTATATTACAAATAATTCAATGGCAATGTCTTCCAAATTTGTCTCTACCTTGGGGCATTCATGCCATCGTTGGTAAATAAATTCACTCTTCTAAAGTCTTCAAAATAAGCTTTATCTAGTAAGACTCCTTTGAACAATTTTTGTAAAAGTACTTTTCTTTAATAGTGGATTGAAAATATTTTGAAACTTTTTCAAAAAAAAATTAACTTTATACTTCATTATTTCTTGTACTTTCTCGCTACCACTTGGTCAGTACATGGAAAGTAATGCAACGCGGCGTGCAAGAACGGCGCATTTTCGGCAAAGAAACTTTTATTACTGGGTAACGAAAAGATGGATAAATCCAGATTCTAAATTTACAAAACAAAATACTCTAAAACGTGGTGAACCGTATTTAATCGTTTTATGTCATCTGGCAAAGTTTTGTAAAATAACGTACATACATTTTATGCGAATTTTTTGTAGTGATATTGTACTACTTACGGTTTCTTCATTGCAAAAAATCATTCGTTGTTAAAAGAACAACTGTTCTTCCGATTCGAATCGACGAGGGCATATCCTTCACGTACAGTAGGAAGACAATAGGGCCTAAAATCCATCCCTGCGGGACTCCCAAGTGCAATTGGCAATGAATCGGAAAGGTGTGTACATAATGTTCCATCATTCCAGTTAAGGTATTTCTACTATCTGAGATCGTTGTTTAAGGTAAGAACATAACCAATCTACATTCCTACGGATTCCTACAAGAAAGTAAAAGCTTTTAAAAGATCTAAAAATATTCCAATAGATGCTCCGTTTTGATAGCTGAAGCAACATCTTTAAGAAAAGAAAATATAGCTGCATTACGTTCTGTAAATATTGTAACAGTTAAAGGATGTAGCCAAATAAGGAAGTGAAAAACGTTCCCAAAGCAAATAGATAATCTCGCTGCTCAAGTGAAGCTGTAATTCAACAGCTGTAATTCCCGAAAAATCAGCCTTTTGGAGCAATATTGCATAGATACAATGAGAAACGCGTTTTCCATGTTTTTTTCTCCTCAACGTCTATTGCGTGTATCAGGCTATAAAATAGTGGTGCTACAGTAGCACATACCTTCTCGCGTTATTGGAAACAGCTACGTAATATTGAAATATTGCATTTTCTTCGGTACGAACACCTCAGCTTCCCCTAAAATGTCCAATTCAATAAAGAAGCGAGCAACGAACTTCTGCCGGTGTAGCGTTGTCAATGTGCATTCACTTGGCGAATTACATTCTAGGCAAAAACGCTTATTTCCATCTGTATTCTAATACCTAATTGTTTATGGGTTAGTTATAATACGTCATACACAGCTAATAAATAACGAATTCTAATAACCTAATTAAATTACTAATATTCTACGATTTGTAATAAGAAATTAATTTATTACCACCATTTCATATAATGACCCCGCCTCAACCAAAGTGCAGGAAAATAAAACTTTAAGGAAGTATGTTCGTTAGATAGACCACGGTGAAGTACCCCCCCTCAAATACTTTAATTTAATGTAAAATCTCTGTTCTTCAAGAGGGTAAGAAACAATTTGGCCCTTACCGGTTTATTTTTTAATAAAAGAAGTTTAAATTAGAACAGGCTCTTATGGAAAAACTTTCGCGGGTATGTTATTTCACGTTATTAAAGAAGTTATACAGTTAATGTATTTTATCTTTATTTTATTAAATACGCAGTACATTTTTTTAGGAATAATATGATATTAAATGTAACATACATCACCGGGCATTCTAAAGAGTGCTTTATGAAAGAGACCAGCTGCAAAATTCATCGCAAACGGAATTACTGGCTCTCGGCCTAGGAGTTACGCTGTACAAATCATGATATTGTCAGCACTGTTTCTGTAATTGTAACCATACGTATAAACATTTTCAAATATAAAATTATAGCAAAAATGTCATTGTATAGAGCAGTGTTATACAAACTGTGGAGCACGAATATTTCAGAGCGAAGGCATGAGAACTTTGTAATAATTTAATTAAATAATGTTCTAATGCATAATAATGCTCTAATTATTTCTACAATAATAAATACTATTGGACTATGTATGTGCCTTCATTAATTTCCAAGACTGGGGGAGAAAACATTTGTATAATATGTAATTGCATTACTTTCATGAAACCAACACTGTCACTATCAGTTATTTTAAATGAGCTCTGGCAATTGGCACAATAGAATACGGCACACTTTGTTGTGGCGAGATCCATTCCTGCAACACAGTCTGAATTTTGGTGCTCTGTAAAGAATCTGTATCCAGGGTTAAGTAAGAAGGCCTTCCGTGTTCAGAATTTTTTTTCCACTTCTTATGTATGTGAAAAAATGTTCAGCCATGTTGATGATCAAGAAAAATATAAATCAACAATAATAAGATGCATACTGACATTTCTAAATTAGTACAGAGATTTGATGAACTGTGCAACACCAAACAAATCCCTCCATCTCACTGACTTTTCTGACCTATCTATGAGTTTGTTTTTTATAGTTTTCTTTACTTTTTCAAACATTAATTAAATTCATTAATTACAAGAGCAAACAGTGTAAATCACTTGCATTAACTATTTTGAACACTGTAAGAATATAATAACCAAGGGTAAATGACAACCCTACTGTCAGGGGAGAAAAATTTAGTTGTTATTTTTTATCAACAATTTAGTTTCAATGAGAGCAGGCTTGTGTTTATTACCTGAAGGGAGTCACAGCAGCAAAAAGTTTGAAAACCACTTGCATAGAGTACAAAAAATACAACAAATAAGCTTGGTCTCATATGTTTAGCAATAATGGAGACAGAAAGTTGGCATCCTAAAGTTGCAAGTCATACAGTGTCAGACAGTGCATAAAGTCAAACAAATCGCTAATCACAAAAACTATTTATCTCATTAAGCTGCAACTTCACAAAAGTTGTCTTGTGACATGTGTATATCGAAATACAAAATTTCACAAAAATCCAAGAGTACCCCACGAGTCTGAATTCTTCACATGGAATGACTCAATAACAAAGTTTGTGGGGTATAATTCTTACCCATTTACTATCGTTGTTTTTTACCTCTTTGACTTATTTTGAAGCTTTCTCATAAAGGTAATAAGAAAAATGCTCCCTATTATACATTTTACTATATATGTAAAGTAAAACAAACGTAAAATTGCTGTAAGTTGGAAACTGAATTGCACCCACAAAGGACATCCTTTTCAGGGCAATTCCAATATGACTGAACTCAGATTGCTGGGGAACGTGAGTGAGACTATGAAGGGTTAAATTTTTGATATAAATATTCATCATTAATTCCACATGGTGGATACTAGTTTTCCTTTCTGAATACAAGTTATTTCGTAATCACTTCTGGCATGCCTTGCGTATAGCAATATCATTTATTTACATCTGGAGCCCACAAGACGCTTGAATATTCAAACTGATTTTGTTCACTTTCATCAAAGTACATTAAAAACTCTATGCTAGCAGGAAATACAATCTGTGCATGTATTCTTGAACTCCAGAATTTGTATCACATCCTTTACCATTAACAGCTAAATGATGAAATAAAATACCAACAAAGTGACACTTCAAATCACTTATTATTAGCAACATTTCAAATCTAGACATTTTCACAGATGAATTTGTTTTTCCTGGGTGAACAATCTACTGATTTCATTTTTTAGTATTGCTATGAAAATAGTAACTCAGCCCTACAACCACAACTAGCAAAAGGAAAAACCAACAGAACATGTGGTTAGTGAAGCAAATGTCATGTCAAGAAGCAAAACAAAGGGCCATCTCAGCATTTTGTCTATGTATCAGGGAAACTGGAGAAACACCTGATTGAGACAGACAACTTCAGATGAACATTAACAAATACCATAAATACAATCACAACATAAAAACACTGCACCTGACAAGTTCAAATACCTCATGATGTACTGACTTTTGAAGCTGAGAATTATTCTTTTAATAGGATTATCACAACTAGGTCAAATGTAGTTTTGAATATAGAGTTCACTAATATTTAGAATACTACCGATTTCTTAATTTTCTGCCGTGACAACACTTCCGTGATGAAAAATTTGACAGCTTTACACCCACATATGAATATATTTTAAGGTTTCAAGAGTCCCTACTTAGGCAAATTGCTTTTCCGTACAAATATTTGTTTACAATAAAGTGCTGGAGTAATAATTAACTCGCAGTCATTATTTACAAACGTTAGTTGTTTAGCTCTTACTTACTGATATTAATATTAAATAAATCAACTCTTGTAGTCTCTCACGATAAAGCAACACAAAAAGAAGCACCGAAAACATTTATGAACATAAGAACGTACCTGGGATGAACTGTCAATTTCGTTTTTCACGCTTTGCTGGATGGGACTGTTCCTTAAACCGATATTTTCACCGTCTACGACTCAGATTTTAATAATAAAATGTTACGGTACATCAGAAAACGGAAATCATTTCAACCTGTACACCTACTTCTTCTGAACACATTCGAATGCTCCTCTCTTTCGTCAACCACACGGAAGAACATACTTCTTTACTCCTTGATGCAAGAAATATATTACACTTTGGTTTTCATTACGTTGCGCGTAAGAGATTCTCTCATGGCATTTCGCGTCTTTCTCGGTTGTGCCGCTAGACGTCTCATGATCGCGACCTTATCAAGTAGTGCGGTGGGTTCAAACGACACGACCATGGTGCAAATACACGGCACGATAGAGAAAGACGCGAAATACCGTGAAATATTCCAACGTGAAAATAGGTCTACATACACCACTTTATAAAAATCGAAATGTAGAGATGTCCAGAACACGTCCCTTTTGGTCGGAGGACAGCACCGTCGCTTCTGAGTGGCAAACGGCAGATTACCACAACCGTGAGTTCATGGATAACACACGACATAATTGCCGATTTTCTTTTAAAACGTCCTGATCATTCTTTGTTAGAGGTTTCCTCTCCATATTATAGTTTAAAAAGGTTTTGTTTTGGAACACTATCTCGCAGTGAGATGTTCTTTTTTTCACTAAAATAAAGTTGTGTCCTGTAGTGGACTGGGGCAAAAGACGCCAGGAGAGACAGAGTAAGCTATTTTAGATGTCCTACCGTTCCCAAAAATCATGAACGTTAAAGGAACACAGAGGACAAAAGCATTTTTCTGCTTTGAAGCAAGAAACGTTAGATAGTAGGTTACAGGTTCTACCCACCTTCGTAATTCAAATCACACGTCTAAACATTTTCCTGTCACTTTCAGATGTTTCATGTGGAAACGTATGTAGATTTTCCACATTTTTGCATTAATATAAAAATCCACTAAAGGACATGGCTCTCAATAAATAAGAAGTCATTTATTTGCATTGCCTAAATATGTTGAACAAACACTTCATAATATATGAGTCACAAAAATTTTGTTAATCTTCAAAACTTTATTTGTGTAAAAGCTAAGCTATCTTCTTCTGGACTTTATTTGTATTAAAGCTTAGCCCAAATATTACTTTGTTCAACAAATTACTGATTTTCTTCTGCCTCCAGGCCTATCGAGTCGGGTCCTTGTATTGCAAAGAAATGACATGAAATGTTCATTAAAGCTTGTCATACAAAATATATTGAAAATACGTTTCATCAAAAACGTTAACATTAAAATCATTGGGAATAACAAATAATATTTTATGCGCGTGACTTGAAAATTGAAGTTTAACCATTAAAATTTGAATTCAGCACAGGAAACTGCAGACATTTTATAAAAAAATACGATGTAAATTGCCATATTTATTTTTATTTTTAAATAACCATATATTTATTACAATTAATGCATTGAAAAATTAATAGTTAAATCACATTAAATTCTGGTTAACTTAGAGTTGGAAGTTCCTGGTGTTACCTACTGGTAGTTCCTAGTTAACCTAGTGTTGGAAGTGTCAAATTTCAAAGGCATATAACGTAGTACATGAAATATAAAATGTAGAATGTATCCGACTCACGACCGAACACTTCACTACCCTGGTATATATTGCAATAATGAAAGATCTACAGACATTGTAGACCAACACCCAGCTCGTAAACTGCTGTCTGGCCAGCTGCTGGCAATCTGGCATCCGCGAGACACGACGTCCATTCAGAACGGCCAACTTTACACAGAGAACTCATCAAATGTACGTTTCGAATCAGCGAACCTATTATCAAATGAAAATAAATTCTCCAAATATCATAAACAATGCATTGAATACCGTCAATGATTGACTGTACTTGTTTACTTTCAATAACACACACGAAATTCATCAAATTAAGTTGCAGCTAGTCAGACGAAGACAGAATATTGGTATTCCCCTCGAACAGCTTCGGACGCCGCACAGCGCTCAGTGACAATATCCCCCCACCAACTTGGTTGCATCACTAAAGGCCCTGTTGACGCTGGTTAAACGTAAGTCTGAATAGTAAATGCAATAAACGCAGTAATAGAACCAAGAGCTTGGGGCAATACCTAGGAGGGCACCAGACGCCGGAAAGAGCGCCAGTTCGAAGCTCTTTGGTTTCAAACTGATTTGTTATACATCGATATTGCTGCAAAATCTTGATACGGAATACTATTAAAAGGAAAATGTATATTCCTAAGATAATATACAGCTTTCGATTTTCTGGGGGTCGTGCAACCTAAGCTCGAGCCACCACTGATAGACAAACACAAAATGAATGCTAAAATAAAATGGCAAAATTGCATTTTACATACTATATAGTCCTTAAAAGAGAACTTATGAGAACGCTAGTTTCAAATTAGCAAGACAAACTCGGAGAGGGCCAATAAAGACAACAAAAGAAAACATTGACAGTTTTATTTCGCGACTTTAATTTGCGACAAAATTTTATTCTTTTCACTGAGGTAAAGTTTATTTTGAAATTTTAAAGTTGAAATTGTATTAGTTTACATAAATCAATAATGTTCTGGTTTCTTTAATAATCCTGATACTTCCTTAAATTTTGATGTTGGAGAACCTTATCTACAAACGTCGCGACATGGTCCAAAGTTCATGGTGAATTCCAAAGGTCAACCACAGCCCAAACTCCAACAAAGAAGTACTTTTTATTTCTACTTTAATCCAGATAAATGTCTTGAAAATTTGAAATGGAATTGCGAAAAGTACAAGCACTGCGGTTGTTTTTTGGGCAAAAATTCAACTACATTTTTCACTCTTTCTACAATAATAAATTTAAAATATACATTTTTGAAATGTGTTATTTGGCAAATTATCTAACACAGTGCAGTTATTTGGAAGCAAAACAATTTTTTTGGAAATGTTTTCAATTTTTCGAAATAAATTTGCACTTATGCATTTTGGAGAAATATTGTTAAAAAACTTACATCTTAGTCCCATATGAGAAAGTTATCAAGCACAACTGTTATTATATATTTTTTCTCATTACTTAGTGTTTTTTTTCGTTGGTTGGCAATTTTACTTTCGGTCATGTTAATGAAACAAAATAAGAGTGGGGTACTAAACTGTAAATAAAAATTAAAAATATTTTTAAATGACATACAAGAAAAAAACTAAGTGAAGAAATGGTGCAATATAAACAAAGAAATGAACAAATTTAAATTGAATTAATGCAAATAAATGGCAATTGATTTAAGTTTATATAATAAAAGAAAATTTAAGTTGCATTGTTAAAAAAGCCATTCAAATATACTAATAATTTTCATATTGGTTTTAATTTCGGATATGTATTATCAACACTATTCACGTATTTGAAATTACTTGACAGAAAGTTCTTATTTTCATGATAACAAGTAGGTAATTTTTGCACATTAAATAATGTCTAAATTACAAAATAAATATTACCCATAATGCTATACCTCTCAAATAGACAGATAGTACTAATATTAACCAAATCATAAGTTTAATATTTTTCAGTCCAACTTTAGAAGGAAGGTTTTATACAAAAATAAGTCTGAGGCAAAGATATAAAGCATTGGATAAAGTTGAAATGCTGAATTATGTTCCATAGGATCCAGAGAGTTTATATCAATTTTTAAAGGGCAGTATGAGTTTACATGAGTGTTTAAATTATCAGTTATACAGCACTTTTCTTGAAGAAACAAGACTTACACAAGATTTAAGACAATGATCACACTGAATAAATTATACATTTCTTAAAATCCTTTTCTAATTAAGTGTTAAATCTGGAAAATAGGATGAAATGACACTTAACAAAATATGATGAATAAATTATTGAATAACTTACTCTTCTCACTTTGTGTTCCTTAGTGGTAAACTTTTTTTTTTTTTTTAGATCTTTATACAAGAATACTACAAGTATGATTTATCAAGAATCAAATGAACTATTTTGATTTAAATGTTAAAAAACAAAATAAAAATGATTAGTAATACACTAATTCTTCAGGGGTATATGAAAGATCACACCAAGATGTTCTACATTAAAATAAAATTTAAAACTGTTTTTTCTTCTTAAACTCTTTGCTTCAGTTCTCTCCTTTGAATTTTTCCACTTGGTGTTTTAGGAATTGTCTCCACAAATTTTACTCCACCATAAAGTCTTTTATGTGGAGCCACTTTACCTTCAACAAATTAAAAAGTAATATTAAACACTTATCTCAGAGACATTTATAACACAGTTAAAATTACTGTTGTCCTACAAGAAGCCTTGCAGAATGTTTATAGAACTCATTTTCCACAATTATTACGTCTCTATGCTATATCGAAATGAAGGGACCAGGATCATTCTCCTACTTTGACGCATGGGAAAAATTCAGCTCTTTTACCCAACTCATTTCAATGTCTTTCAAGACCATAAGGTAATTGAATGATAAATGTACTTTATTTTCTCTTGTCTCTGTTTATACAGGGCATGAATAATATTAATATCTTCATAAGTTTTATTCTATGGAATTAAAGTTTATCTAACTTACCAGCAATGAATTTTTGAATTTCGTCCGCAGTAATGTTGGTAGCTGGGTCTTTAATTACATGTGCCTGGGGAAGTTCCCCATATATCTCATCTGGAATTCCAATCACAGCTGCTTCTTGGATTGCAGAATGGGTTAAAAGAATTGCCTCTAGCTCGCTAGGAGAAACCTACAGAACAATTTACTTAAGGGATTTCACTTATTTTCAAAACATTCAAATTATTATAAATTAAAAACATTCTAACCTGATGCCCTTGATATTTAATTAGTTCCTTTAGGCGATCTACAATAAAAAAATAATGATCTGAATCATAATAACCAAGATCGCCAGAGTGCAGCCATCCCTCATTATCTATGGTCTCTTTGGTGGCATCAGAGTTTCCCATATATCCTTTCATAATTGAAGGACCTCTGAAACACAGCTCTCCTTTGGCATTGGGTCCTAAAGCTTCCCCTGAGTTAATATCAATGACCTACATTTGAAAACAATTTGAACAAAATGAGAAATGCATTTCGTTGAAAAATATTTTACAATAATCAAAACAAAACAAAACCTTTTTGTTATTACGTAAATAAAATCTCTTTTGACACATCAACTACTTTATTGAAAATGAACATCAGTGAACGTAATTATACAGTCAAATCTTGATAAGTAGAAAACTTCTATTAGTAAGTGAGACTAGGCACACGTCTTTTTTTAAATATGTCGTTTCATAAATTGATGAAATATGTAAATTATGGTATTGCACCTTAAACAATGATATTAGAGAGTAGAAAGACAAGACTGGTATTAAGTTATGTCATTTACACACCTTTCCAATTAATTGACAATTGTACGTAGGGTCCCGCAAGGTTCGCTTTTCGTCCCTGCCAAGATCCATGTACATTCGTCGTGATCGCGCGAAAGTTTAGAGAAATTGTGTTCAGTTCGTGCATGTGACGTCACCAGAACCCAGGCGTTGTGAATGTGTCGTATCTGTGGGTGAGTTTTGTGTGTTTGTGTGCAACTCCGTGAAAATATGGTTATTTGCGCTGTTTCTGGATGCAGCAATCATAGTAGGGAAATGAAAAGAAATGGATTGCATTTTTTAAATTTTCAATCCGATTCGAGTCTAAAAAAAAGGCTACATTTGTATGGAGGAACCGACAAATTCAACACAAAAACGGGTTCATAAGCCTACCTCATTCTTATATCGATCAATGCAGTTAAGAAATATAAACAAAAGTAATTAGTGTAATTATTGTAGGGCTTGATGGATATTACACATTTTGCATGTTTATTGTTCTATTGATAAGCAGTTAATGTCAATTGTATTTTCTTTCTAGTACGCATATTCTTAATTCATTTCATCGACAAATAAATTTCAAGACTACGACATTTTTAAGAACATCAAATGATGGGATCAAAACTATATTTAAGGGAGGTCGCATTACGTTCCAAAGTTTGTAAAATTGCAAAATATGCAATTAATTGTAAAATAATTACAAAATTTGCAAAACTAGAACATTCATAAGACGACCGGAGCTAAATAAGAGTATTCGTTCTTTTAATATTAATAAATGTAAGAAAATATCAAAATTTACAAATAAATAAATATATTTAAGAATTCTGCATATAGCTTTTTTATTTATTTTATCCATCGCTTTTTTAATTTTTAACGTCGCATACAGTATTAATTATTATTAATTATTAAGTATTATTTTTAATTTTTAACGTCGTATACAGGACCTGTAATATATTTTCGAAAGTTTTTCTGTTTTAATTAATAAATCAAAAACAGTAACTCTCATATAACTTTTAGAAATCTGTGAAGAAAATAAAATATCCTTGGAGAAGATATTTATTATTATATTAAAATTTTGTGAACGTAAGAGCTTTTAAGTTATGTGGAGAACTGAAATGTTTTACTTGGAGAAATAATAAATTCATAATATTAGTTATAACATGTTTTTCTATAACTTGTTTCGAGAAAATAAACTATTTTTCTACTTACAATAGATGGAGAAAACCAGTTGTGAGTCAAAAAGAGCCTAGATTACTTGTGTACCTTTACACCCCACCGGCTTTTGAAACGGGCGAGTGGGCTCTTTTGACATGGCAGTGAAAACTAATGCTTGCGGTATGCGCGGCGCGACCTAGGGAATACGGACCGTCGTTGCAGCGTGTTTAGGTGTGGATAATACATGTGCAATGTGACAAGAGGGCATTATTAATTAATTCAAAAAAAAAAAAAATTCTTTAGACCGCCATGTCTTTACTAAATTAATTAAAAGTCGTGTATTTATTAGTTAAAAATATCTGTGTAGGACAGCCATAAAACGTAGAGTTAATGGTATTATTGTTATTATTGCCTTTATTGATATTTTTATCATATTCTTATTGTCTTAACAATTTAAAGTTACATTGTAATATTATTGCTAATTGCAGGCGTGGATCCACGGGAGGGGGGACATTTCCCTCCGAAAATAGTTTTCAGTAACTATTAATTTTAATTTCTCACGAAACTTTTTAGTAACTAGTGGCGCTAAACAACACGTACATTCTTGCCAGTATTTTCATGCAAAATTATGCAAAAAGTACTCAATTGTTTGAAAAAGTGTACATGACATTATTTTAAAATCTGTATTTTAGGAACACATTTCATTAAGGAAAAAACTATATCTTTAATATTTTAGTTGTAGGAGGATGACGAAAAAATTTTGCACCTTTGCAATTTTTCATATATTAGGATTTTCAACGAACATGAGACTTCCACTATTCTCTTAAAAACGGCCTTCAAACTATCTAACAAAAAAATATATAAAAAACGATGGAGTATTTTTTTAAATTTGAAAAATGCCCCAGGGAATTCAAGAAAAGTAAAGTAATCTCAAAATAAAAATATCGGCTTCAAATTCCAGGGCCCGATCGGTTGCGGAATACCAATTTTGGAGAAAAACGGCTGAACGATTTAGCCACTAGCCTTGTTCACAGACGGACAGACGTTTTGCTGTCATTTGATTTTTCGGTTTTAAGGGCCCACAAAACAGATTCTGGATACAACACGTGTTAGAGGATCTTTTTTCTTCTAGATTTAGCAACTGGATTTATCCACTTTTGCGTTACCAGGGCCCTGTAAGAAATATTTTTCTGCCGAAAATTCTAGTTTTTTTCGCCCCGCATTACATAACGTCCTCTCTACACCGTTAACATATTTTTGGATAATCATTAAAACGAACAAAACGTAGTATGAGCTGAGTTTAGCCTGCGACATTCTACATAATCTGTAATAGGACACATTCGACCAAAACATTTTGAATAATAAACTACCTTAATCTATCTATTATCTATAATACGATTAATCCATAATAAACTAACTAATCTTAAACTATAGAAACAAAAGAAAATGTTGTAGAAACTTCTAAAATGTATCGAAATCAAATAGCCGCGCGTTCTGTCTTTTGCCTTCTAGTTACGAATGGGAATCCTGAATCTCGCTGTGTTAGCTGAGTGGTACACATGGAAAATATCTTGGTAAATTCTCCAGAGGCGTCTAACAGCCCATAATCTCTTTCTTACTCCGCGTGACAAGCGGTGCTACGACGAATTCTACGTATTAGAGTGTGGCCGACGCAAACGGAAACCGCGTTGACGGATTAAGGTCTCTCTCTAGGTGCCAAGCGAGTGATCGTGGACCGCTGTGACATTTCGCGCAATTACAGTGTGCCAGAAATAAAAGAATGGGGCATGAATCGCTTGCTTGCGTCTGGAGACGGCGCGGCTAATAAGTACCTACTTATGAAGAGAAAGAAAATACCTAAAAATGATAAGATAAAATCTAATAAAAAGGAAAAATGTAGAAGAGGCTTGCGACATATTTTGTGAAATCTTGTCGACTTCCTTTAGTCCCGAACAGTAATGTTTGTATGTAAACGAATGTTTAATTGGTAAATCGACATCATGCGTTTTTATTTAAATCTATCTGCTCACATCTATTTCGTAGAACGAAAAATATAATACTAATCCTTCTTCTTTTGCAGCTCTGAATTCAACGATTTTAATAACCATTTTTAATTTAAAACCATAAAGTATTCTTTAATTATTACTACCTACCTATGTGCTGCGGGAACTCTAAATTTTTGAGGAAGAATAACTCAGACAAACATTACGGGTAGATAATAAGGTCTGAAAAATGACAGAAAGATACTATACATTTTGTAATGTTAATGATGCAAAACATTTTGCCATTGCGACTCGTAGATGAGAAACAAAGTATACAGAATTTGTGATTGTGTGATGTCTCGCACACATCGCGGAAATGTCTTCCAGATGTCAACTTGATGAATGATCAATCTTAATTTTATTCCCTATCTCCTCCCGCCTCTTTCTTTGAGGTCACGGACAGACTTACGACCAAAAATACACAGAAATATCTTGACAACCTAAATTCGTACTACGCAATTAAGGCAAACATATGGTAATATCAATCTGACACATTTCTGATGGGACAAGAAGATGTAAATAAAAGCGGAAATTCTCAACGAGCGCTTGTCTCTTAGGACAGAAATATATTTTGAATGTATTCTAAAATTTAACTCTAGAATATTATTATACAGAACTACGTATAAATATTAAAGTTGTCCTATGAGCATTACATTATTATGTCCTATGTGTAATACATTACATTGTCCTATGGGCAATACACAAAAACTGTCATTGAATATTTGCTTTGTGATAGCTCAGTGTCATCATCTCAGTGTCTCTGCAGCTTCGCAGACCCGGTTCTAATCCCGACGGTGGCGGGTGTTCGGCTCTAATTGCAGATCTAGGTCGAATTTAGCTACTATTTGGACTAGAATTTTAGCTGTGGGCTGTTCTGATGAGAAGTTTTCCCTGGTTTCTCCGATGAATACCTTCACACATCGACCACTAATGGTTTGCGAGCTTTCCTTGCTTATTCTTGCTCCTCCACCTTACTCAAATACACACACACACAAACTTACATACACAACTCTACCACTCATGACATGAGACCAGTCAGGGGCTTAGGTCGAGCCCCGGCTATGGGTGTTGCTACGGTGGGGCAGATTTCTGGATGAGGAATTCTTAAAGTCGAAGTGTAGATGGGCTATGCAAGAAAAAAGTTAAAACTTCTTCTCAGAACACTTGTGAATTTTTTCAGATTCTTTTTTCAATTGCTGTGCCATAGTTAAAAAAAAACTAAGGCATTCGTAGTCAAGTACTTGGCCTTCCGGTAGACTTCTCGTCTTAAGCACCTGCAGCCTCCTCCACGAGGAAGGTCACAGAATGGCGGCTGAAACGTTGGTCCCTACGCCTAGGACGCTGCAACGTGGTTACTAACTCCGGCAGTGGAAGCCTACGCTCTCACACCTGTAAATGTTTCAGACTAGAAACAAATTGTGCTTTCTCTTACTTAAAAATTGATTCACACACAAAAAAAGTATTTTCAAACACTTTTTTGCGTTTGAATTTGGCGCTGAGAAAACATCAAAAACTATTTTTTTGATAGTATAAATTATTTTCTTACTTTGCGTATTTTTTCAGTCAGATAAAATAGTGTATAGTTGACGAAAAAAATTGAAATTAAAAAATTAATTTTTGGCTGTAGAGGGCTGTGGGTGGTGGGTCGGGGGCGGGAGAAACCTCTCAAAATATTATTTTTATGATAGAGGTATAGTGTAACTACTCATATGTTATTTGGTTTAGGGGAACGTTTTACCATCTTATCCGGGAGTACCCTTCACATTTGTTGTATGTAGCACTAATGGATTGTGTCAATTACGCGATTAAAAATATTTCCGACCCACCAATAACATGTGCAAATAATCTGTCTTTCGTATTAGCAGAGATCACACATTCTCTAGTCAGTAGACGAAATTTTATCCACGAATGACAGAAATTCTAATTACAATTGCCAGTAGAATTATTGGTGGATTCCAAAGACAGCTTTTTAAAACCCCAGTCAATTCTGAATTTCGATTTCATGGTATGCAATACGTTTTCTCAAGTTTATGTTGAAATATTTAGTATCACTTCCGGAAGCCTAGACTTAAATAAGAGAAACGCAATGGTAACCCTAAAGATCGCAAAGGCAACTGCGATAGCGTACATTTCTCCTTCTTATATGAGCCTTCAAAGCCTACTTGCGTATTAAATGTCTCCAAAGAGTGCTACCAAACATGAATGAATAATGAATTTGAGGCCATTGTGTTATGTAGATTTTTTTTCCAAAATTGTCTCTACGTGAAATGCACTACATGTAATTACGTAAACCATCAATCAATAGGAAGTTCATTTGAAAGCGTTGCATTATATATAGTAGCAGCCCGTTTCAAGTTTCAACAATAATACGCAATTGGCAATTTTGTATTAAATGTAAAAAATGTACAAAAAATAAGCAAAATTCAAATTTGCAACAATATTTGAGTTCCCTATTCGTTTTCTGTAGAGTATCGTGATATAAGTTTCCGAAGTTTTAGAAAATTTATAAACAATATTAACAATTACAATTTTGAAATGTTTTATGACAGGTGATTCGCTAGAGATCATTTATGAATTAGCGAAAACAGTATTTGCATAGGTCTGCTTATCTAGAAGAAGTTGGTGTAATTCCGATGACATGTGAAAAATATTGTGTGCGTTGCTCGTCTTCCGAAAATAAAAATATCGTGACGTGAATCTAAAAAAGTTTTTTAAAGTACAAAAATTAATTTCATTGCGTTGGACTGGAAATCATCCATAAATCACATGTAAATAATACATTGAATTCATGTGTGTTTCCCCCAAGTGATTACGCAATCGACAAAAACGGGCGTTTCTTGCTTTGCGAACATTAAGATTTAAAATTATTCAATAAAAATCATATCTCCATCCTAATTCTCACGTAAAATTTCTAAAAGACTAGGTACCACACATGATTTTTAATATTCGCGGTAAAGAACACCACGTAAAATGCAATCACCATTAATGTCTCATAATAATGTCTGTAGCAGAAAACTTACACTGTGATTTAATGAACTTTAAATACTCTTTTTTTTGTTTAGTAATTTAAGTCACATATCCAAGCTATTTTTATTAAAATATTTTCATGTTTCGTGACCATATTGTATCATTGTATTCGATCATCATAGAAACAGGTTTCACGACTGAAAGCCACTATCTCGCGTACGGTACACTGCCTCCACCTTGAAGCTATCGACGCGAGAGTCGCCGCGAAACGCAGAGTCCGGATGATCGTCCACAACTCTCCACTAGAGGTGACTCTCCACTGTGACCATTTACGCAGCTACATTCCCGCTGCGAGGTACGAAGAAAAAGTAAAGTATTGTTTACGGTAGTGGCGATGCCAGCATGAAGTTGCCGTAACTACTCAGAATGACTGTCTTCTTAATTAGAGACCTGCCATAATAAAAAATGCACTACACGTACGGGACTAATGACGTAGCTGATGACGCGCCCGAAAACACAAAATAATCAATCAATCAATAGATGATACAGCCGAGCCTTGCGGTCGTCCACCACAGCGAAAACAATCACTACCACCAATGACGACACTAAACAGACCTTTTACATTATATTGTGACTGAGTTTCCTTCCCTTCCAAGCCCTCACTACCCTCTCCAATCATCGACACGTCCATTCACAAACCAACGCAAGGAGGCTAGCAAGCGCCAAGAAAGTAAAACAATAGTGTTACGCAACCTGACTTACCAATGAACAAGGACTTTCCGACTCAGCTCATCATAAAGGAACTAATTTTGACAGATAGCCCATCTGCTCTTTGTTCAGTGGCAAGCTTATCATGGAACGTAATTAATAAGATACAAGGCTCAAAGAAACTGTTTGTTACATTCCACTAGGAATTACTTGCGTAGTTCTGGTTAACGGTAACCAGGCAATTAATTCCTTTTGGGGAAGTAATACAAACTTGCATAGATTATTAATTTTAATTCATAAGAGGAAATAGTAAGGTATTGAAGTAATGTTGGTATAGCTCAAGAAAACGTACCGTGACCACCTGTTTTTCAATAAAAAGGAAAAACGTGGCATATTCTTCTTATCGCAGAGAGGAAAGTAGATTTGAAAGACGCGCGCCTAGTGTCTCAAGGAAACAATGAATATACGCTAGTGTAGCTATGCAACTGCCCGCACCGATGGAAAACTTTCTTTCTATGCAAAGCAGCAGAACGGCCAGGTTGTGTTCCGTAGCAGAGCTGGACGAAGACTCTTTGCATTCAACACGGATGACTCCCGGAATGACTTCAAAAACTTCACCCGACGAGTTAAATTAACTTACTTACATTTAAATGTATAAAAATAAAAATCTAACGTTATGTAATGAAAGCGGAAATCATGTGCAGTATAATTATGCGTGTAATTTACACGTATTTATCCTTCGTTTCAGTTTTTTATTTATTTTTCTTCATTAGATGATTTTAATTCAGAAGATCTTTGTACGGTTATAACAAAGAAGGGTTTCTTTGTATGATTGGGGAACTAGACATTCCATTGCACGTTACTTTGGATAGATTTAAGTTCCCCTCGCACATTATATGACTGGGAAAAGAAATACTTGGACACGCGGGACCTTATGGCGCAAGGATTTCCCAGCCGCGTGCGTCTCTGAACTGGGGCACCGACGACTGGAAGCGAGGATGGTTGAAGGTCACGGGGCGTCGCAAGAACGACGGCAAAACCCTGGTGTAACCGAAGTCTCGTTAACCTGCAGGTGGATTCAAGTAAGAAAGATCCAAGGAGGATTCTATTATTATTTGAAACTCTAGTCAAATCATGTAATGCAATAATCATACTAGGTAGGTCTACCAACGATTCAAAAATTAATTCATAATTGTTGAATCAATCAATCTTTATCTTGTAATGTAAAATCGAAATTCAAATAATGTATTATTTTATGCTATGATTGAAAAGGTCAGCAGAAAACATAGTTAGTGGAAAATGTACAGTAAATGTTAGCTTGTAAGGATTGTTCTTCTTCTTCCAGGAAAATTTTCTTTGAATTGTTATATGCGTGTCCTTTGTATTTGTAAATGCGCTAGGAAAGGGAAAAAGGAGATTATTGTTTGTTTTATTAAATAGTTTACTCGTTTGATTTGAATGGTTCCAGAAAGGTTAATAATTTTTGTACATGTTTAAAAAGAAATGGTGATATAAGCTATAACCACGAAAGGTTATATATTTGGGTCGTATATATGGTGCAACTAGAACCGAAAAAAAATAGGTTCACCACCCTTTTATCAGGTACGTACGTAGGTTATATATTTTCCATACGTCTCATAGATTTTACTGATTTTTTTACAAAAACAAATGGAATAAATCAGGCGAATTCCATTTTAAGTGAGACCAACATTTTTTGAACTTGAATAAGCGAGAAACTGTATGCGAGTCACCCCTTAAGTTAGAATAAAATTTGTGTCCCTTGAAATCCTACTTATCCAGGTTCGACTATATTTATTTGTCATAAGTATTAAATAATACAAGTTTTCTTGTTTTACTTCTCAGTAACAACTCCTATCATAAAGTTTACAAGTAGATTTACCTTGCATTGCATCCCTGGTGTGAGTTGTCCTGCAGAACCTGCTTTATTGATTTGGTAAGGTGCTGTAAATATTATGAATGTTGTTTCTGTCATGCCATACGAATGATGAAGTTTGCCAAATGGAGCAAGTTGTTCATGTATAAGTTGCTGTACTTTAGGACTAACAGGTGCTGCACCAGTCCATACATGATGTATATTTTTGAAGTCTACACTTGGAATAGCCTTCTTTTTGGACAACAGCACCAACAATGAAGGTACAAGATATAAGCAATTTATCTGAAGCAAATTATTCAAATATAAAATGAAATTTTTTAAGTATAGTGAATCACAACGACAACGCTATTCAATTGATAATTTTATTGGCATGCTGATTCACACTGTAAGGTCTCCGGACTTACGTGGTAGGTTTGAATGTTTGAAATAAAGGAATCAACTGTAAACTTTCCAACTATTATGACTTTTGACCCTTCACATAGACACATCAGCACTAAAAGTAGACCATAGGCATGAGAAAACGGCATCAAACCAAGAGTAATGTTTTTTTCAGACGTGTACATGGCACTGAGAAGAAGACAAATATTTTAGTGAAAATTATGTAAAGAATATACAGTAGGTTTAAAAACAATGTATCATTTCAACATTACCTGTTAGCGAGAGCTACTATAATATTACTATGGGTCAGCATAACTCCCTTCGGTAAACCTGTAGATCCACTTGAACTTAGAATTAGAGCAACGTTCTTGGTTTCCGATTGATGGCCATTGAGATGAACTTCTGTTTCTCCATGCGATTCCGTTACTAGAAGCTCATCGTCTGTAGCCAAGAAATCTTCTAATTTTCTGTATGCTGCTGGTAAAATCGCGGGTGTACACCCCCAAACCAAGACAGCTTTTACATGATCATTTTCAGTGAATACTTCCTCAGGTTGGGACTTCGCAACTGACGCTGAACACAATACAATTTTTGGCTTAGAGATACCCATTGCATGAATAAATTCACCTAGAATGAAGAACATGAATATATTTTAAAATATATTTTAAACTGATAGGTAATGAACTAAATGCTAGTTTTTGCTTAGGAAAAAAAATTGATTTTCGCAGGGGTGCCCAGAAAAAAAAGCAGGCGCCTGAGGCAGTTGCTCCAAAAGATTCCCTTCTTTCAAACAAAACATTCCCTCCCCAATTCATAAACAGAATTAATTTATCTATGCATCAGAAAAAAACTTGCAGCGTTTCATTTGGATTAGAGATGAATATATTTTTCATTTCATTTGAATAAAAAAAAAAAAAACAATTCCCCTGCCGGGGGCATGGGGCAAATAAACTCAGTTCCCCCCCCCCTGCGTTCAGGACACCCCTGGATTTTCGACTCAGAAAGTGATGCTAAACAATATTTGTTAAGAAACAATTGATGCGACTTCGTTTCCATGGTTAAATCCATCCCTGAAAACCTTTTCCCATCTGCACTAAAGTTGCTCCAAACCATGCCTCTACAATTAGCATACATGTCTGAAGGAACCAAACTATTATTTTTTATCTCAGTTTTATTGTTTGCCTACATTTTTATTATGTTCTTGAAAAACCCGTATTTACCTTCACTTGTCAAAAAATAAAAATGCATTCCAGATCTCTTGAGAACAATGACTATTAACGATGATTTTTATATTGTACTCTTTTTCTCGTATTTATTTGATTAATCGTGATTTTCGCCTGGTATTTGAACAATGTGATTAAGTACTATACAAAAATTTTTGAAGATGATGATCTTATTTTAAGTTTAACATCAATTTTTAGTTCAAAATTAATCTTTGAAGTAGCTACTTCTGCTAGAATATTTCGTCAATTTCCGGAGGTCTTTATCGTTTAATTTCGAAGAAATTCCACTTCTCTCCCAATGTTAATCGAGTTTCTGTCTACAAACCTATAATAAATACCTGAATCTATTGATTCCTGTTTTAGATTTTTGAGAGAGCAACAAAGAAGAATGCCTATTCTTCATCTGTGATTTCTTTAATGTGCCGACACATTTTATGTTATAAGTAATATCACTTGTCCCAGATGAGTGAATGGAAGATACAACACTTTTCAATCACGAATATCTCTTCTACTTAATTGCGGGCTGTTGGAATTACAACCATTAATAGAAAGATAAACATTACCAGAAAAACGCTTGAACGAATGCTTTACACGCATCGACCTGAAGCACCCTTAACTACCTTGTAGGAGTAGCTTCCTGAAACCGTTCTGTTTTGGGGTCAATTTTATAAAGTTTAATGTACTGACTCTCTATTGGCTGCGTTTTAAATCGGACTATTGTATAATATAATTCATAAAACATGTGTAGTGTTTAAATTCTGAGGTGTACGAATATTTTTCTCCGTGACGGGCCACTAATCTCTGATCTGCACCTTGTACAGCATTCACTCATTGCAATCGACAGCCATAAGCAATTTATAGATGAGAGTTGTCCAACTGGTGGCCCGCGGTGCCATTTATTGTGGCCCACGAAAGGGTATTTGTCAAAAGTGAAAACCCCTTGCATCCATGTCTGGCGAGAAAGTAGCACTCAGCGCCCGCAAACAGTCATCAACGTCAACACCCCCTTAACGTAAACAGAGGATAAGTTTAGATTTAAGATTTTTTCTAGTAAATTCAGAAATTCAAAATACTCCTAATGTTTTTCATTGCGTTATTCATGGCACGGTCTGATATAGCCTGACAAGCGATTGAATCGGGCATCAAAAGTTAAATGGTTGGAAAAGGAATATTCTAACGGTAAAAAGAGAAGACGAAAAGGGAAGAAATGTGGTAAGAATGGAGTGGAAATTTATACAAAGAGATTGTGGGACTCGTGGATTTTTGTAAAGAAACAAAAGAGATAAACCAACAATAAAAATAAAGTGCTGAGGCACCCTTTTAATTGAAGTTACTCAATGAAACGTCATATACTTGTGTAAATGAATTAGGTTCTACCTGGCAATTACAACATTGTGCAGTTTTCATGTATAAAGATTCCAAGACTAAACGACGGTATTTTGTTTCTTCAAAAGCCAATTTCTTTGTCTCTGAAATATTAATGTTGTAGACAGTCGAAATTCTATCGTTAGTTAGGGAATTTTGTCTAGTGATAACATCGTTAGTTCAGAAGGTCTTACTTTTAGTTCTCGTCTTGTTTGCCCGCAGTGCCGAGCCAAGTTAATTTGAGCCCATGTGCCAATTTTTGTTTGCTTCTCCCGTGTTCTAATGTTTTGAATTTTGTAACATAGATTTTATTCAGCTTGTAGACCTATTCAGCTTGCCGCATGATTCATAAAAGAAACCGATATTATATTATAAGAAATTGATGAAATTTACGAAAATTGTATTTCTTATCCTTATGTATCAGTGCGTTTATTTTTCGGCACATAATTTAACACTCAAAGAGTTCTTTTATATTTGTAAATAATAGAGTAAACGTTTTTCGTTTATAATACAAAATAGGAGCAAAGATAATAAAGATATTAAACAAATGCCTAAATTTGCGTCCTTTCACAAATGCCACCCTTGTGCGGTGCACCGCTTGCACTTAGGTTGGCGCGAACCTGATTGTTACTTGAGGCAATCAGCACAATCAATCTTATAAACAACTTGATTATCTAATTATTGATTTTACTTTCTTGTCCTTACGAAGGTACTTTACGGTACAACGGTAGAGAGAAATTGTGTAATCGTACGTCAGAAAGCGTTCTTTTCGGCTGAAAATCTCTTATTGCCGGACCCTGGTAACGAAAATGTGGATAAATGCTGTTTATAAATATAAAAAAGTCCTCTACCACGTAGTGTAGCCGGAATCCATGTTTTGTTGGGTCCTTGATACCGAAGAATCAATTGACGGCAAAACGTCTGTCTGTCCATGTGTCCGTGGTCAATGCTAGCGCCTAAATCGTTCAGCAGAATTTCTCCAAAATAGATATTCCCCAATCGATCTGAATGAACTAGAGACTTTGGGAGTTTCATATGGATATTTTGATTTTTGAGTTTTTTTTACATGAAGCGGGCAGTTATGTTTTTGTGCCTGTGCCCAAATTCGACCATACGGCGTTACTGTGGCGTAGTGATATGAGTGTCTGCAAGTTAACTCGGAGCGGGTCTCGGAGCGGAAAAAAGTTTTTTAAAAACACTTTTGCTGGTTTATGTGGTAGTATAATACAGCGGAGCAGTTAGAAAGAACGCGAGAAAGTATGTGCTTTCGTTGCATCGTCTACATCTAGTTTATCTCCATATTCTTAACAATAGTATTCCTTTTATTAATAAACCAACTAATCAAAGGGAGGTCAAAATTTTCATTTTAGCTTGTAGTTTTAGTTCTTTATTTAAATGATTATTTAAATATTACAATATTTAAATAATTATTTTTATTTTTTAAAATAATATAACAAATAATTATTTAAATAAATTAACATTGTAACGTTTAATAAGCATACAAAACTGCATTTAATAAGCTCGCGGTAAAAAGAGTACAGAGATCCATGCCCTCGATTATTTTTGTTTCGTTCGGCTCTTTCTTATTCCATTTATTATGTGGTAAGTGGAGCATAAATAGACAATATTTCAATCTTAAACGGAATTCCATCTGCTCTTCTGTATCAAGAACCTGTATGACACGGGCGGCCAGTATGATACGGGTACCCGTATGATATGGGTACCCGTATGATACGGTTACCCTATGATACGATTACCCGTATAATACGGGTACCCGTGTGATACAGGTACCAGTCTGAATGAGGGTGGGTTTACCCCTTAAAATACCCGCATGACTACGTACCCGTAAAACTCCAAGACCTGTGGTACCTCGGGGGACATTACCAGTGTTCCCAGTTCCCATACATTCGATTTTCCGAACAATGCAAAGGTCTATCTCGGTCTTGTACGTTCCATGTTTGCCCGTGGAATCCCTGGGCTTCGTCTCGGAGTTTTTGACGAAGGGATCGTATTCCTCAAAGACAACCACACAGGTTGCTCACTCATGTCAAGGCATATCAAGGCAAAATATTATCTGCGAATTACGGTATACTAGATGAAATGCACAAAGGACTGAAATGACCTCCATGCCACGAACGCAACTTAATCCTTTGCGGTTGGGTGCCTTTGATAACATAAACGTCATACATGTTGGATGGCATCTGTAAGATGACATGCAGTCGCTGACTCTCAGATCAGAGCTTTCAGGAAGGAGGCTCGCCTGGCATCTCTCGCATGACAGCGTCCATTCCTTAATGCATTTGGAGGGCATCTCAGAGATGACACCTGCTTTTCGATCATATTTCTAAATAAGACCTCCATCCAACAATGAGACGTCGTGAATCGAAAAAAAATGGTGTATCCAAATACATACGAACGCTGACTGATCGAAAATGTTTTGCTACATTCATTCTCGTTCTTTTAGAGAGTTTGTGTTTTACTACAGACAACACTTCTGGGGCTGATCAACAAACCTTTTTTCCGAGAAACGGTAATCTAAATTCTGTAGTCTCCAAAAAATATTTTTTAAATAATATTAAAAATCTTACTACAAACTACAAATTAAAATCAAAGTATATTATTCACGGAAATACTTTTTAGTAATGGAAATTATTAATGGAAATAAAATTAATGTGTTAATTTGTTTGAATAATCGAATAAGTTAGAAAATCTACTGGCTTCGGAGGCATGGTTTACATTCCCCCTTCCTAAGGACGAGGCACGAGACCCAGCTATGCTTACTATATATACTATGCTTACGCGGAGTATACAGAGGGTGAATGAGCATGCAGGCGGCTCCAGCTTCAAGTGCTCCCAACAGCACCGAGCAAAACTCCAAATTGTTCTCACTGCAAATGGCCACTACGTCGCCTCGCCGCACCCCCAGCCTCAGCAGGCTGCGGCTCACTCGCTGGCTCAGCTCCACCATTTGGCGAAACGTCAGCGACCGGCCGCTCTCCGCATCCACCTGCAGCAAACAACTGGACTCGATTAGGACACACACAGAAGGCAAAAGACGCCACAAGTTGACACAATGTCAGGGTCGATTTTATCAGATTCACACCAATTTTGTAGAATAAAATAAACTAGTGGCCTCCATAAACTAACAAAAATGCCACATGCTCAAAAAACCCACAAAAAATGCTTTTCCGAAAAGTAACTCGCCCACTGCTCAAGAACAACACTTTAAGTACTCTTGTTTTACACTGCTATATTTTTACAATAGTTCTCACGAATATTGCAAAAAGATCATATCATACACACGTCGTGTTATACAAGACGTATTATACAAACATCGAAAATTTGAAAATAAGCGCTTAAGACAATTTTAAGCATATTTTGTCTAATAAAGTACTTCGAATTCTGAATGGCTGTGCCGCAATAAGCACTTAAAAGTTGGTTTTAAAAAAATTTATAGGCAAAAATATGCATTGCAAAAGCATAGAAACACTCCAAAAACATGTAAATTGTTCATTATTTACAAAAGAAATGAGTGCATTTGTTCAGAAAGAAAAATTAACCAATAAGACGAATTGTGAAAATTGGATTTTTATTTCTGGGTTAATTTTTCTATCTGAATAAACATATTAATTTCTTTTGTAAATAATAAACAATTTACATGTTTCTATGCTTCTGCAATGCAAGTGTTTTACTAGAAAGCATTTTTTCAAACCTACTTTTCAGTGCTTATTACGGCTCAGCCATTCATAATATCCTAGTACTTTATATGACAAAATATGCTTAAATGTGACTTGGTAATCTTCATTTATAGTCTATTAATTATTTATTTCCTATATCATTTGTCTAGATTAAAACAGAATCACATCAATTAAATCATACTTTTGGATGTTATTAAAATGCTTGTATAACATGTACGACGAAACTTGTTTTCGCAATTTCAGGTACATCTTTGTAAATAGTCAAATTATCTACATTCAAATCAATTATGGAACATATTTAAAACACAACACACGAGTACAAAGCAAAATGCGGAGAGAGACTTTTTGTGTTTACTCTGTCGTATTAGTTTAATCCCTCCACGTCCTCACGAGTCCCAGATCGCCTAATCTCCACCCCTTCCGTCCTCTCCCCAACTATCTTCCGTAATTGATTTTAATGTAGATTAATTTGACTATTTATAGAGATGTACCTGCAGATGTGAAAAATGTTTAGCGAAACGTAATGTTACTCAAGCATTTTAATAAAATGTATGTGTTTTAATTGGTGTGTTTCGGTTTTAATCTATACCATTGATTCTCTCAAATCAGAATATAAAGAAAACAAATAAAATGTGCTTAAAATTGTCTTAAGAGGTTATTTTCCAATTTTTGATGTTTCCTCCTCGGACACCGTCTGTACAACAGTTCTTTACTAGCGAAAATAACAAAAAAGTCCCTGCACCGTAACGCAACATGTAAATAACAAATATTAATTGCGGGCGAACTCGTCCTTGGAGAGCTACTGTCGCTTGACGTCAGCTGTGTCGTCAGCAGTACCATAAGAGTATGAAAATTCAGTCAATGTGCGCAATATTAAAATAAGAGAAATGACATAAATGAAGCAGTTATTTTCAAAACCTGCAAGTCAGGAATTGTAAAGTTGTGGGAAAACAATAAGACATGAATATTTAAGTATATGGAGACCATTTCTGCTGTTTTTTTTTGTTTTTTTTGTTTTGTTTTTAGGTATAAATCTTGATTAAGAATGTCAAGGAGACTTGAAACTTACTTGTATCGCTCGACTCATTTAAAAGTTTATGACTTACGGAATTACAATCAGAACCTTTTTACCTAAACATGTGTATAAACACACATTTTTTTGTTTGTTTAATTTCTTGCGTCGGATTTGATGCAACGCGTCTCAACGCCTCGGGGGGTGATGAGAGCTTTGCGCTCGGAAGTAATCCTCCGTTAATAATCACGCTATTTATAGGAATAATCCTCCATTAAAATTATTTGTCAAGTCTCGTCGCAGTCAGTTGTCAAGAGGACGGCCATGTAGCATCTCCGCGTACGCGCCTCCTACTACGCGCTCCAACTCCACTACCCAGCGGCAAATAATTTCAAATATTGCTATCTCTCGCTTTTTTAAAATTAATTTTTATTTATTTATTTTAAACTGTTACTCATCTTTGAACTATTTGTAGTTAACATGAGGGGAAGGGATTATAGAACTCAAGGAAAGGTGCGCAGTTAATTATCTCCCCCATGCGGCACATAATGTTTTTACTGTTTGATTAAACACATAATGTTTGCGGCACATAATGTTTTGACGTTTGATTAAATAAATCTAGATCTAAATGTTTACTATTGAAAACCTTACTGTTTTTTCTCTTTATTAGTCGTATTTTCGCATTGAAATATTCTGGATTTGAATTACTTTTTAAGTATTTGCAATAGCCCGAGGCTAGCCCCTGTGAAGCATGCAAACTTGTTTTGTCGTAAAAAATTTCACCCGAGGTTCTACGGGGTTTCTACGGGATTCGAACCCCGAACTCTAACCAGTACTATTATTATTTATTTACTGAAGATGTTAATTTTTATTTATACAATCCAAGTTTGAAGATCCCAAATCGGACGTGTCACGACCGTTATGCTATTTTTGTAGATTTTTATGAAATATTCAGGTCATGCATTTCTAATTAATAACATATTTAATTAATCAACAATATCCTACAATATCCTCTAGTTTCACTGTAAAATTGTTGTGTTTCAATTTTTGGTTTATGTAACATAAGATGAAAATAAAAGGCTATTTGTGTTCGTAGGCTTCCGCGGCCGGAGTTAATACAATCTTGGCTATCCGGGATGAGCCGCGTCTCGGTCAATTATGTTGACGTTTCGGCCATCTTGCTGTGGCCTTCTTTGGCAGTATAGCTCTGAAGAAGGTCACAGCAAGATGGCCGAAAAGTCAGCACAATTGACCGTGACGCTGCTCATCCCGAATAGCCAAGAATGTGAAAGTCTATTTGCTGTCACGACCGTAACGCGAGGTTTCTTGTAATTATTTTGAATGAAAAAAGATGGAGTTTTACTTTTATGTACTACTACTCTATGTTATATCAGAAAGTGTAAAAGTCGTACGTAAATAAATTAATTTAATTGTGTTTTCCTAGTCTTTTTATTTTTTGTATCCATATACGAGTCACGCCCGTAACGAGGAAATCGCTCAGATGTACATTATGTATATCTACATCACATATAACTCATGTGACAGAAACACTTGCTTTAAATATGTGTTTCTATGATAGTACATAGGAATCCTTCCGTACTGAACATCTCGCTAAACTAATCTCTCTGTCAGTGATATCCCAATCATACACACCGTATACATACATACCAGTCTCACATACCTACATACAAGTCAATGACAATGGCGAGTTTCAAAACGAAACTAAAACTTTGCAGTGTTCTCAAGGCCATTCTATTAATCTGATTTACGGGATTACACATGGACCGACGCATTTATCCTTCAGCTTCTATTTCCTCACAAAAAGCAAAAATGCAAAAGAGAATCACTTACGGGGTTCTAAAAATAACCGATTCAAATATAAAATAGTTGCATTTTTCAGTGAATATCCAAACTGTTTCCTTATTTTGGACTTTCCCCGACTTTCAGGATATCTAACGAAACCACAGACATCTCTCACAAGGCCGGAGGCTGCATAGTAAATCTTTACGCGCATTTGATCATGCGGGTACCCAGGACCCGTATAATAGGGTGTTCTAACTAATTTTGTGCCATTTTTTGAAAGACAATGAGTTCACTGAAAACGACCTGCACCATATAAGCATAGTACTTTTTTCTATTAGACCAAAAATATTTTAAAAAATTAGAGATTTAGGGAATTTAGAAAAAAATGCTTTTACTCCAAGTAAAATCTAACCGAAAACTACTCACATTAATAAAAATTACTCCATGGTATTATTTAAAGATGTAATTTCTACTTCCTTTTTTCGTACACATTTTTAGAGGAAAGTTGCAATTTTTCTTCGGAAATATTCGTATTTTGTGGCCGTGATATCGATAAAGGGATAAAACGTGTTCCTATAAGTAGTAAATTACTTACTGTAACACCTTATGGAGTCAGAATCCACGAATATCAGTTTTGAGAAAAACTGTGTCAACGACTTGCGCGCTAGTATTTTCTCCAGAGACAGTCATTTCACCGTAACCAAATTTTAGGCATCGAGGACCAAAAACATGTGAATGTAAACAACACAAATTGATCGAAAAACCGGTCATTCGCGTCGCAGCATTGCAATTCCTCCTCTGTACTTTGTAAGTACGCAGTATGCGAGGAATTAAAACGTCTTTCGGTAGCAGGGAACCCAAACGTATATATCCGTTAAAGCGTTCTCGACATCGATTTTCGGTAAAATTACATAACGTCCTCTTTTATATACCACAGAAAACTGTTGAGTCTTCTAGAACCTTTATATAACATTCTTTAAATCACATGTACTCATAAATACAATAATGTGAACAAATCGCGGCTAATATAAATATTAACTTTGTGCGAGACAAGTAAAACTATTTTTATTATTTTTGAAAAAAAAACAATATTACCAAATTAGCGTTTATGTCATCTTATACAGTACATTTAACTCTATCCATTCCAAAAGTTTAAAGAAAAAATTGGAGCCGTTTTGGAGAAAATCTTGTTTTGGGTACTTTTTAATATTGCACATATTTTATGCAATATTACACGAAAACTATTAAAATTATCAAAACATTTACCTGATCTTAATGAAATAACTAAATATGAAAAAAATAAAATTACTTGAAGGAAAAATCTCTACAATTTTGTTGTTGCAGGATGACGCCGGAAATATTCAAACTTAAGAAATTTTCGAAAATTCAGAGTTAACAGTGAAAATCAAAACATGAGTACTTTTCACACTATTCTTATCAGAAATTTTAAGAAAAGTTTGGAGCCATTATTAAGAAAATTTGATAATTTGAAAATTTTCTTGGAGCGTAATGGAACGTACCCCCAAATTTTGACGAATGTTTTTCAAAAACGTAGCCCTTAGAGTCGAGTCAGATCTACCGGAAAATATCAATTTTGGAAAACTAAACCTACGTGTGGTTGAGGCGCTAGTAGTGTTCATAGTGTTCAAACGGACGGGTGGACGAACGGACGGGCAGACAGACGGGCGGACAGACGGGCGGGCAGACGGGCGGGCGGACGGACGGACAGGCGTTTAAAAAAACACTTTTCCGGTATCAGGAGACCCTAAAACATGTATTTCCATTGACATCTCGAAATCGATTTTCCATAGCATTACATAACGTTATACTAGGTATATACGTATGTATACGAGATTGTAACAATGATAATACATGGTCTACACGTACATACAGAACAGATAAAGTAATTACTGTGCATATCGAGAACACGGAACAATTATCCGGTAAGAACGAAAGCTCAGGGACGTGGCCTAAACACATGACATCTACAAATGTCCGTTCGTCCCTCTGTCCGTCCGTCCTTCTGTCCGTCCGTGTGCCCGTCTATCCCTCGCAAATCCGAATAATTAGCCCAGACCAAAGAAAATAGAAAACGAATCCGAGAAAGTCTGTGCTATTCTGTAGCACTACTAGAGCTGTGTTATAAGTCTTTGTTGGAGTATTTATGTTGTAAGTGCAACCACCTGTTTTATCACCCACCTCGATGACGGCAGCAGGGATCGTCATAAGGACCCTTTAGCTTACGTCACCTATTGCAGGCCAACGTTCGTCGCCACGGGAAGGCCGGTGGCTCGTCTCGGGTCCATTTGCTCTTCTTGCCGCAACTCTCCTTGGTTCTGATGAAGACAACGCACGAGGCGGCTTTGATGGCCACGGACGGACGGACGTTTTGGATCAGGGAAAGAAAACTACACTACCGCGAGAAAAAACGCCGGAAAATCAGAAAAAATGGGGAGCTCACCTGGGCAATACGCTCTCCGTAAATCCAAGCCTTTTCGTAAACATACTTCCAAACGGGTACACTAAGATCGACCTTCAGTTCTTCGCCGTTTATTATATTCATAATTACAAACTCAACGTTCCCTTTGAACGAACAATGAAGAACTAACTGCTTTTTGAGTGAGAGGTATGAAATCTGCAGGCCATCAATATGCAGGCGAGAGTCGGCTCTCCTTCCCACGGTGAATATGACTGACGCATTACTTCTCCATTAACCGCTGACTTAGCGGTCAAGCAGAAATTCTTGGCGTAGCAGATTGAGAAACGCCGATCCAAGAAGGAACATTTCAGTACGAATAGATTAGTTTTAAACAATGATACTGTAGTTATTTTGATGTTCAGAGAACAGTCATATCAAGTGATTTTTCTATTACATTTCCTTTTTTGTCAAGTATTAACTTAACGTTGATTTACACTTCAGTGAGATCAGTGGGGAATATTATTGTACCTTTCGACATTTTAATCGAGTTTATTTAATTATAATGATTTTTTATTTTCATTTGAACGGAATTCTAATGTTCCTTCTTAATTACACATGTGCAATAAGTATTATAGGAAACATTTTTTAAAAATTTTTTGTTCCATAATATATGTGTGAGGTTATTTTCGATGGAAAGTTGGTCCCATCATCAGGCAACTTCGTGACAATGAGACATGAAATTGCATTAAAAATTTATGAGTAATACTTATAAAATTCCAGATGAATTGGTAATAAAAATTTGTACCATATCATATAAAAATTCAAATTGATTAGAAATATAGACTAACTTAGTGATTTAAAAACATTTTGAAACAATATTTTTCTTCAATATATTAACATTAATACAAGTTACAGGGCTATACCGTCCAGTCATAAATTGTTGGGCATCTTCATTGTTAAAGGTGGTCAGGTGAATGACGGTTACGATAAATGCCTCAACTGTTCACTTTAAACTAGTGAAGCTACAACAGCACATACTTTCTTGCATTGTTTCTAAATTGGCAATTTTCGGAAATTCAGTGTTTAACGAAAATGACAGCTGCGCCATTCTTTTAAGCGTCTGTTCTATCCGTGGAAAAATAATGAAATTATGAATAAAAAAATTGGAGTGGTTTTGAGATTTTTTTATTTCATAAATTTCAAACACAAACTACGTGAAGTCTTGTAGTTTTTTTTTTTCAAAAAACTGTACGTGACTTTTTTAAAGAGGTGATATTTTACAACAGACTTGGCCCAACGGAAAAATATCTATTTTCTATGTCGTAGTTTTCAAATGATACCTTTTTGCAATTTTCGAAAATACAGAGTTCACCTAAAATGGGACTAACACCATATTTTTTACCATCTTTTGGTACATACGAGGAGAAATTTTAAAGAAAAAAATTGTGTCGTTTAAAGAAAAAAATATTTTTAAAATTTTAAAATTTCCCATGTTTTGCGCAAAATTACGCGAAAAGTTCTCATATTTCGAAAAATTATACATGACCTATTTCAAGGTTTGTATTTAAAGAACAAATTTCATTCTGAAAAAACTTTCTTTATTCAATGTTACAGTTATAGGAAAACGCAATTTTCGAAAAATCTGGGATTTTAACGAACGTGAGACCAGGACCATTCTCCGAAGCGTCCTTTACTCTATCGGAAAAGTTTATTTAAAAATTTGATACATTTTTTTAGAAAATTCTGAAACTCATTCCAATGTAAGTACCAATTGTAAATACTTCCAAAATGGATATTCTCCGGTCAATCTGGCTCGACCCAAGGGGCTGCGATTTTGAAAAACTGGAGTACATTACATGAGGCTCCCAGGACATTTTCTCAAAAAGGCTCCAATTTGTTTCTTTAAATTTCTTGTAAAAATATAGTAAAGTATACTTATAAAAGTGGCGTACGTCTGAGTTTCACGGTTATCTCTTAATTTTCGAAAATTGCAAAAGTTTGAATTATTTCCTACAGTGTCTTCCTACAACTACAAAATTAAAGATTTTGAAATTTGTTGTCCATAATCAGTTTTTTCATGAAAGTCATGTACATTTCTTTGAAAGTTTTGGTAGTTTTCGCACAATATTGCGTGCTATACATGCAATATTAAAAACAAAACAAGATTTTCTTAAAAACGGTTCCAAGTTTTTTATTTAAAATTTTGTAACGGATAGGGGAAATGTACTCTATGAGACGGCTTACACGCCATTTTGCACTATTCTTTTGATATTGCAACAATTAAAAAATGTATTTTTTTACTTGTCTCTCGTGTCGTTAATATTTACATTAGCGGCGATTTTTTATCATTATTGCACTTATAAGTACATATTATTTAAATTATGTCTCATAAAGTTCCTTGAAAACTCAAAAGTTTTCAGTGAAGACGAGCTCAGAATTCCCCATTTTCAGAAACGCTCAAACGCCATTTTTTAAATTCGGCTTCAAATTTTTTCTTCAATCTTTTCGAACGGATAGTACTAATTGCACTCTTTAATATGACGTAAAGTTCTTTTAAGGTATTCTGTTGCTTTTCTCAAAAGTTACACAAATGTAATTTTTTTAAGATCTCTCACGCAGTTAATATGCACATTTGCAGAATTTGGTAAGCATATTTGTATTTATGAGTTGAAGTGTTTCAAATTACTTTAAATGAAGGTTTTCAAAAACACAAAAATTTTCTGTGAAAAAGAGCTTTAAATTTTGAATTTACAGTAGCGCTTAAGCGCCGTATTCTTAAAAACTTTTAAAAATTTTTCAAAGATAATTGCCATTTAGAATTATGTTTTAGATCGATTTTGGAGAAATTTTGGAGAAAATCGTCTGACCGGTTTCGGTAATGAACACAGTCTGACAGACAGATGTTTTGCAGCATGAAGGACCCACAAACGTGAATTTTGACTACTCGTTTGGAGGAGGTAATTTACTACATACAGAAACAAGATTTATCTGCTTTATCTATATCAACTTTTTGATATGTTTTTCCATGCCTGTTTTTTCTACTTCGATACTTCCTATTTACTACGAAAATACGTATTGGCAAGAAAGTAAAAAGAATTCCTTGTGAAGTTTCTGTGTAGCGGATCGCTGAGAAAACGTACTGAGGTTGAATTTAAATCTGCCCTTACTCCGTTCTCGTGATATTGCGTCGCAAACGAGATCTCAAGTGGACTCGTTGCTTGGCATCCGCTATTCCGCATGGGTCAGCAGTTCTCCGCAGGACGTAGCAGCCACAGAGGAAATGACGAAACTACTCCAGTCTCTTCGACATGAACTCGAGCTTTGTTTTAAAGAATTTAACTTTTTCTTGAAAACTTACAATGATAAAACGACATTCAACAGACAAAAATTAATCATTTTTTCTTCGGTACAAAAGAATTGAATGCACAATCAGAATTAATGTTTTATTTAAAAAAATATATTTATTGATCATTGTTCGAAAAAAAACTTGTTTTTCAAGCGTATGCACATTATATTAACATCAAATCAATATGAGGAGAGACTTAAAAAAGAAACCTCTAAACACACTACTGATATGTATAAGTATTTTGTTTGATTTTGAAGAGACATAAAGATCTTAAAAATAAACAATGGTTATAAATAGAACATAATACATAAAAATTTGTACAATAATTAATAGACACAGAGAAGGTTAAGGGATACAGGGAAAAGTTAACTATGGAGGATGTAAGAGATATTTTGAATAACGTGATTTAATTCGCGGAAAAGGATTAACTGTTTTCCAAAGTTGAAAAGATGTATAAGCAGGAGAAGAAGAAGACGAAGAAGACGAAGAAGAGGAAGAGGAAGAGGAAGAGGAAGAGGAAGAGGAAGAGGAAGAGGAAGAGGAAGAGGAAGAGGAAGAAGAAGAGGAAGAGGAAGAGGAAGAGGAAGAGGAAGAGGAAGAGGAAGGAGGAAGGAGGAAGAGGAAGAGGAAGAGGAAGAAGAAAAAGAAGAAGAAGAAGAAGAAGAAGAAGAAGAGGAAGAAGAAGAAGAAGATGAAGAAGAAGAAGAAGATGAAGATGAAGAAGAAGAAGAAGAAGAAGAAGATGAAGAAGAAGAAGAAGATGAAGAAGAAGAAGAAGAAGAAGAAGAAGAAGAAGAAGAAGAAGAAGAAGAAGAAGAAGAAGAAGAAGAAGAGGGAATATAGAATTTATCTGAGAGATGAAGGACCCAGGATTTTAAAGGAAGAATACCGAGTTCGCGTAGTTTTTAATGTTTTTTATGAACCAGGGTGCTTTCAGTGCTTTCCGTAAATATTTATTTTTTAACCTATAATTTCTTAATATGGGATTTCGCAGCACCACCCCAAATGGGACATGAATATAAGATGTTCATGCTGTTGAAGTATTGCTTGATCCGGGATGGGATGCACAGATTCGCTGATAAACGAGTTTTCACCACCATTTTCATTATAAGTTGCGTCCTTTGCGCTACGATTTAGTTGCCCCGTAACGGAGCGACCACTTGTGGCCTTAACTAGTGTAAATTGATTTGTTGGCTTTCCTATAACTAAAATACAACACTTTTTCTAACGTGGCACTGTTCACGGCGCTCACACGAACGACACTGGCGCTGAGCGTTATCGCACTGATCGCTGCGGGTTGACCACTGCCAGAAAGCGATAAGACAGAGCTACCTCCGACACGAAGCGCTCGCCTCGGCGGCTCGAAGCGGACTGCACAATTAAACTGATTAGCTAACCCTCACTGCGACTTTCCCTTTTCGCTTTCCCTTATCACTGATAAGCGAGTCTCGAGAGAAAGGATTGTGAGTTTGTTTTCGCGATTGATATGCGCCATTTGTCACGATGAAATGAAAATTGTAGCGAAAACAGACGTCCCTATTGCACTCTCACAAACTTCAGCGTCAACACTAGACAGCGAAAGCACGTTCGGGGCTGGAATGTATTGCAAACTGAAGGAGAAATCGTTGAACATGCTTCCAATGCTATTGTAAGAAATGTATACCAAAGGGAAGGTAGTCATGACAGCGACGACCCCTAGCGCGCGAAAAAAGGATTGAATCATCGCCAGTTGCCACCAAGGCCGCAAGTTGCAGCTAGCGAATGCAACATAAGGATTCTAAACCATTTCTTGAAACGAAAGTGGTCGTCTTCAAGGGGAAATGGTGGGATTTTGTAGACGAATTCATAGTCGTGGATCGGAAACACTGATGGTCGGCATAAT